GCAAGTACATAGCCAGAGAGACATGCCAGCCCAAGGTCACCTCAGACCTGGTAGTCTGAGGCATCTGCAGGGTTCTGTGGCTTCAGAACACTGGACACTCCCAGAGAGAGCCCCTAGCACATTGCACCGTAGCCTCTGGGCCAGCAAAGGTCTCTTCATGTTCCTGGTGTAGAGTTTGGAACTCTTTTTTTGGGGGGGGGGGCAGGGAAGGGTCTACACAGTGTTCAGGGTCTCACAACTAGATCAAACTCACAGTGATCCACCTGTTTACTTCCTCCCAAGAGCTGGGATTACAGGCGTGCACCACCATGCCCATCTCAATTGCTGTCTCAGTGCGCCCTGGGGGCAGGGCTGGCATGGTAGGCCCCTGCGCCTGCTTGCTATTTGGCCAGCCCAAGTTTGGGACTCTTGATTGTTTGTCTTGGGTTAAAGAACCATGTTCATACATTGCCAAGAGCTCTCTCTCTGCCCTGTGTGGTAAGTTAGCCTCTGTGTAGCCATTGTGGCTACTTTGTGTAACATAGAGCAGGACGCAGGCCCTGCCCTGAGCCTTCTGCTTGCTGTACTGGGTGCCTTGCCAGAGTCAGCAGTTTAGGGCGGCTTAGCATGGAAATCTGTTAGCATGATCACAGCATTAATGTATGTTAAGAACTTGGCTGTCTTCGATGCAGAAAAATAAAGGTTCATACCTTTCTTGACAAAAGCATACTAGACTGAAAAGCTTTTGTTAGTTGGGTCTCCTTTTGTGATCCAGAGCCTTCATACTGAGCCGTGTCTTTATGTCTTGAGACAGGGTCTTGCTAACTTGCCTAAATTGGGCTGTAATTTTCAGTCTTCCTGCTTCTGCCTCCCAGAGTGCTGGGATTACATGAAAAGATTTTCTTAGCATGAAAAAGTGATCCACCAGAAGCCTGTTCCAGACCCAATACTGCAGGCCAGAGCAGTGCAGTAGAGCCAACACTGCTTCCCTCAGCAGCTATGAGCCTTCTGTGTCACAGCACTAAGATGAGGGACGAGGGCCAGCCAAAGCTCAGCAGATTAAAGCGCCTGCAAGCAGGCGCGGGGCCTGGGGTTCGCCAGGCCTGCTGTGCCAGCCCCACCCCAGGGCACCCTGAGATGGCAGTTGAGACTAGGCATGGTGGTGCGCGCCTGTAATCCCAGCTCTTGGGAGGCTGTAAACAGGAGGATCACTACGAGTCTGATCTAGTAGTGAGACCCTGACTACGCTGTAGACCCCTCCCTAAAATACAGAAAAAAAAAAAAAAAAAAACTATGAGGAACAGAAGAAATCAAAGACTTCAGGGCTGGAAAGGAAGGAAACAAAGGGAAAACGTTTTACATTCCAGACAAAGACCATGTATGCTCAACCTGAGTGTGATCTTGTTCTGTGGAGGCTCTGCCCAGGCCGTGTCCAAAAGCCATGGGACGGGCAGAGCCTGGAGACCAGGCTGGGACCCTGATATTCCTCTTTCTTGTTCTTGTAGCTTACTGGCGATTTTGGCTCTGCGTTAGTGTGGTCTACGAGCTATTTCTCATCTTTATCCTCTTTCAGGTAAGTGGCTTTTCTTAGACAAATGGAGCAGGTGACAAGAGGCTTTGCACACTTGGCCCCAGAGGACTGGAGGAAGCCAGCTGGACCCAGCACTGTGGTGCAGGGTGTGGGTGCAGGCAGGAAGGACAGTGCACCCAACTCCAGGAGTCTGGTGCATGTGAGCAAGCCCTGGCTGGTTCTCTGGCTCCCTGAAGCTTTCTCCCACCCATCTCCTGTTCTGCAGGAGGCTCAGTGGAGTTAGGAGCTTACCTCCCTGTCGTCTCCAGCCAGGGAGTGAGCCCTGATGACCGAGTTGCACTCGGCTTCACTGGAGGGACACACAGCGTGGTGGGCTCAGGCCACAGAGCACTCTCCTGCTGAGACCGCAAACCTGCTGCTATGTGGCTGGGTTGTCAGTGGTGGTAAATGGAGTGCTGGGGGCAGCTGAGCAGTGCTGTGAGTCTGCACACACATCAGATTACAGGAAACCCTCTACAGCAGGACACGGGAAAGACTTATCTCCCAAACTTTCTCAAGGGTCCCTTGACATCCCCTGCCCCAGGGATGCCCTGTCCTGCCTGCCACTGCCCTCCCTCTCCGAAGCTTCTCTCTGTGCGGAACCACGTGGTGGGCTTTCTGAGTGCACCATCGGCTCAGACAGAAGGGTATCTGCTTGCTTCCCATGTGGGGCCATTCCCATCCAGGCTCTATGTGGACATGCCTGCTTTTCTCTAGAGACACAAACTCATTGCTCCTAGCCCAAGTGTGTGTCTCAAGTCCGCTATGTGCCTTCATCCCTCCAGTGCTGATTTGGAGCTCCGCCTACTTTCCATCCTGGCTCTGTGCTTTCGTGTGTGCCTAGGACCAGCTGCTGGGACCTGCTGCTAGGTGCAGGTCCTGTCATTGTGGTTTGACTTGCCTGGGATACAACTGAGGTCCAAGCTGTACTCCTTAGTTGTTATTTAATGTCTGTTTCCTACCTAGGGTTACACATCAGGTCACCATGTGACACCTCACATGTCTTCTCAGGTTTCTGAATTGTATGCTTTCTGACTGACTATCTCTGTCTCTGAGGACAAGGCAGCTCTGAGGAAGTCTGTCTGGGTACTTAGTACAGGTCACGCGTTGGAATTGGGGCATGCGAGTCCCCAGCTTTTCTTTTCCTTCAAGATTGTCTTGACTTGGCCAGTTGCTTGCATGTTCAAGTCAATGCTAAGATCATCTTTCTGACTCTCAAAAGAGCAGGTTAGGGTTTTTTTTCTTTTTTGTGATTGCTGGGAGTATAGGTCCTCACTTGCGAGGCAAGCACTGACCCCATCCCAGCCCTAAAGGGTATGAGGTTGGTGCAAAGCTACGGATCTGTTTCAAGGTATTGGCATCCTGACACCATTAAGTCTTTAATGCACGAACATGGGATGTCTTTCCATTGGTTTAGGTTAACTTTCATTTCTTTTGACCATGTTTTGTAGTTTTGAGTATGTTGCATACTGTGTTCAATTTATTTCCAAGTGTTTTATTCATTAAATGTTGTTGTAAGATAAATTCTTTTCTCAATTTCATGATTGGATTGCTCATTACTAGCTCATAAAAATACGACCCATTTTTATATTGAGTTTGTGTATTTTCTGAGACTTTATTAGCCCAGCAGTCTCTTGGGATTTTCTGTGTTGGCTTCTGTCACCGACACTTGGAGTGGTTTCACCCATGCTTCCACCTGTGGTACCTTGTGTGTCTTCTGCCCCAGTGGACCTCCTCGTCTTGTTCCTGATCTTAGGGTCTCTCATCTGTCCCCACTAATTGTGTACTGTAGCTTCTCCTGGATGCCCCTTGCCAGGTGGGGGCATAAAGTTATATTCCTAGTCTGCTGAGTGGTGTTTTTGTTTTTGTTTTGTACTGGGGCTCAAACTCAGAACCTTTCAGTTGCCAGGCAGGCACTTAGCTGCTGAGCTATCTCCCTGGCTCAACGCTGAGTGGGTTTTTTTGTTGTTGTTGGGTTTTTTTTTTTTTTTTTTTTTTTTTTTTTTTCCGGAACCAGGGATTGAACTCAGGCCCTTGTGCTTGCCAGGGAAGCACTTAATCTACTGAGCCATCTCCCCGGCCCCAACGCTGAGTGTTTTTATCCTGAGAGCTTGTTAGGTTTTGGCAAGTGCATTTTCTACCCAGAATGAGATGGCTATGTAAATGTTTCCCCTCGATGTGAGATATCACACTGACTGACTCTACTTCCAACCAACTGTGCATTGCTAGGATAAATCCCACTAGGTCATGATGTGTAACCCTGCTCACATATTCAGGATTTTGTTTCCTATTGTTTTGTCTAGGATTTTTGCATCATATTCATAAGAGATGTTGGTCTATAATTTCCTAGAACACCTGTTCCTGGGTTTCAACTCAGGGTTTGTTGGGATTTGTCTGATGTTTTCTCAGGATTTGACCATGGCACACACTGTCAACATGGTTGTCATGGTTGAGGCTGACCTTGAGCACAGATAGGTCAGGATAAGGTGGTCCCTGTCCCTGTTCAAATTCTCCACTTCACCTTTTGCATACTGTGTTCTGAAGAAAGTTGCTAATGCTGCTCTTGGGGACGGAGGGACATGGCAGTCCCTCTTGGGGGCAGAGCCACTTCATATGATTTAGAATTCCTCTGCTGGGCAGTTTGTCCCTTCTCTACCACTATGATTCAGTCATTTGTGCACACTCAGAATCTGCTTCATTCCCAGGTTGTATCGGTAGCTATTGTGTTGCATAGACTCCTCAGGCCACTGACGGTCTCTCGTGTGGTTCATGCACGCTTGACACACCCTGTGTGTAGAGCTCCTTGGTCTTTTGTTCTTCAGAGCCCTTCCTGCTCGTGGTCTTGTCGGCTACTTAGGGCATCTGCACACTCTGTCGCAGCCCTGGAGTCAGCTGCTTCCCCAAGGGCAAGGGCTCCTTCCTGGAGGATGGTCTCAGGCTGAGATCTGGGTACTAGGTGCTGGGTGCTGGCCAAGTCTGTGCCTGGTGGCGTCTGTTCAGAAACGGTGGACACTGGCGTCCTGCAGCCCCTTTCCTGCTGCTTCCTCCTCCCCGGGGGGGGGGGGGGGTAGGGGTCTCTGACTTTTCCCAGGAGTAGAGGACTCAAAATCTAAGAACCAAGCAGGGGCCACCCTGCAGCTGCACCTGAAGCTCTTGGGTCTCAGGAGACACTTGGGTGCCAAGATCAAGAGACCCTAAGGGCCAGGGAGATGGCTCAGTAGAATAAGCGCTTCCCTGGCAAGCACAAGGGCCTGAGTTCAATCCCCAGTTCCACAAAAAAAAAGAGAGAGAGAGACCCTGGGATGCCACTAGGGACAGGTGGCCCTGACCTTGGGGATCTGCACTCAGGAGAGGACATCTGTGCCCAGCATCTATGGCCCAGGTCACAGAAGGACCCCATGCCTGTGGTGTGGCTGTCCTGTGCTGAGCACTTAACTTGCTCTCACTCCTGCCACCCCCTCCTGGACCTTGTTCTGTATTTGGCCTCCAGGCCTTTGAGCTTCCCTGAGGTCCTCGGCTGGTGGCTGTGGAAGGGCACCTCCTTCACTGAGGTCCTGTCCCAGAAGCTTCCTTTGCACTAAGGCTGGAGTGAACTGCTGACTGGCACTGGTATCTGCCTGACGCAGAGGACTGTGTGTCCTCATGTCACAGGAAGTTGGTGGCACACCACCAGGACAGCCTCTGTGGGTGTGAGGCTGGGACATGAGGCAGCATGGGGCTGCCCTTGTTGAACTGGGGATTCAAATCTTGTGCCCCTGTCTGGTCTGCTTTGCCAGCACCCAGGGTTCGCCCCACAACTCTCCACCTTGCATAGGGATGGGGTCCCTGTGCTGTGATAGGCTGACCGAGGCAGAGCCACTTGCTCTGAGTCCCCCATCTGACACCTGTGGCTTTGCAGACTGTACGTGATGGCCGGCAGTTTCTAAAGTATGTGGATGCCAGGCTCGGGGTCCCACTGCCTGAGAGGGACTACGGGGGAAGCTGCCTCATCTATGATCCAGACAACAAGACTGACCCCTTCCACAATGTCTGGGTAAGAGTGCCTCAAGGCTGTCACCTGTATGTGGAGGCTCATGTGAGGGGCTCCCCACTCTGTCAGGATGGGCTGTCCCAGGGACTCTCAGCAGGCAGGCAAGACCCTGACACCAGTGGGAGGTGGGAGGTTTCTGTGCCTGAGGACTGCCCTGTCACCCATAGGACAAGCTGGACGGTTTTGTTCCTGCACATTTCATTGGCTGGTACTTGAAGGTATGGCACACTCAGCCTCAGCCCCTCGTTTCAGACCATCTCGGGCTACAAGGTGATGTGCATGTGGTGTGGGGTGAGCCTAGCAGTGGGACCTGTACTCACAGGTGTGTGTAGAGCCAGGCAGGAGGGCCCCCAATCAGATCTGCTCACTGTCCCTAGCACTGTGCTGTCTGGGTGGGAGAAGGGTGAGGGACAGCATGCAGGAAGCCCCACTCTCCTCCACCCACTCATCCCAGGCTGCAGGCACCACACCACCTCAGCTCTGGGCAGACTGGCCTTCTCTTAGCACCCAGGGTGGACACCTCCACACTGGCTGAAAGCTGTGCTTTGCAGCTGCTGGAGGAGCAGCCACCCATTGCTGTGCTCACTGGTGGCTGCTAGGCTGGAGCACATGTATGCCCTGGTGGACAAGACTGACCGTGTCTCGGTGTCCCACAGACCCTCATGATCCGGGACTGGTGGATGTGCATGATCATCAGCGTGATGTTCGAATTCCTGGAGTATAGCCTGGAGCACCAGCTGCCCAACTTCAGCGAGTGCTGGTGGGACCACGTAGGTGCTGGGGGCAGGGGGTGTGGGCAGGGTCTTCACAGGTGTCCTGGCTCTGGGCCTCACATCTCTCCTGCCTCCTGCACAGTGGATTATGGACGTGCTGGTCTGCAATGGGCTGGGCATCTACTGTGGCATGAAGACGCTTGAGTGGCTGTCTCTGAAGACATACAAGTGGCAGGGCCTTTGGAACATCCCCACCTACAAGTGCGTTGCAGGAGTTGGGGGCCAGAGTCCACAAGCATGGGCCAGGCCAGGGGCTGTGTCGTGTTTGCTTTGGGAAATAAAGAACAAAGCTAGGAACAGTGGCATGCATCTGTAGGACCCAGCTCCGTGGAAGACTGAATCGGGAGCGTCTCTTGAGCACAAGGGTTTGAGGGAGTCTGAGCAACATGGCAAGACCTTGTCTCACTAAAGAGAAGGGGAAATGAGAGTCTGCAGGAGGCCTGTGGGCAGTGGAGTGTGATAACCCCTGCTCCTGCTGAGGGCCCTGTAGGATCTGAATAGGACAGAGGTTGGGGCTGTGCCTGTGCCGGGCACTGGGCTTCAGCCACCCTGCTACCATAACCATGACTCTGAGCAGAGGTGACACTAGCGGGTGGGGTGGCTGTGCTCAGGCCTGGCTCTGTTCCCAGGGGCAAGATGAAGCGCATAGCCTTCCAGTTCACGCCCTACAGCTGGGTCCGCTTCGAGTGGAAGCCAGCCTCTAGCCTGCGCCGCTGGCTGGCCGTGTGTGGCATCATCCTGGTGGTAAGGCCGGGGCACCTTGCGGCTGTGCTCACTGGGTACCCTGAGCCCTGCTGACCCCTCTCATCCCCTAGTTCCTCCTGGCGGAGCTGAACACCTTCTACCTGAAGTTTGTGCTGTGGATGCCCCCCGAGCACTACCTGGTCCTGCTGCGGCTGGTCTTCTTTGTGAATGTGGGCGGTGTGGCCATGCGTGAGATCTATGACTTCATGGATGATTTGTGAGGGCTGCTGCCAGACTGAGGGTCCTGAGCACAGGGATGAGACGGGAGGCACCTGGGGCGGGGCTTGGGTGAGCCCGCAGCTAATGCCTCCTCCACAGGAAGCCCCACAGGAAGCTGGGCCAGCAGGCCTGGCTAGTGGCGGCCATCACGGTCACCGAACTGCTCATTGTGGTGAAGTACGACCCGCACACGCTCACCCTGTCCCTGCCTTTCTACATCTCCCAGTGCTGGACGCTTGGCTCCGTCCTGGTGCTCACTTGGACCATCTGGCGCTTCTTCCTACGGTGAGTGGGCCCAGGACTATCAGCTGTTCCCCTGCCTGACTGTCCCCGCCCCGCCCTCCCAGCTGCGGCCTCCACACGGGCCAGTCTGCATCGCCCCCATTCTACCCAGGGCTCACTCAGCACCTTGCGCCTCATCTGTGTCCTTCGTGGGCTGCTCTGGATGACAATAACAGGTATCCCCCAGGGCTGCAGTGTACAAGTGGTGAGGTGGCCTTCACCCCCCAGGGACATCACCTTGCGGTACAAGGAGACACGGAGGCAGAAGCAGCAGACCGACCAGGGCAGGGCAGTCAGCAACAGGGATGAGCGCCCAGGGCTGGATGATGACCTGCTGGGGCCTGCAGCCTCTGAGAAGGAGGACTTCGCTGAGGAAGGTGCAGCAGCTGCCTCATGAGCCCCAGCCCTCATGCGGGCCTTGCTCTAGGGGCTCTCTCCCTCCTCTTGTGTTCTGTATACTGTCCATCCAAGTGTACAGACATTGCACAGCTGAGCACATGCACACGCGTGCAGGTACTCCTGGGGCTGCACCGGGACCAACAGCTGGTGGTGGTGGCTGGGCCTGGCCCTGGAGCAGGGTCCTGTCCTTCCCCTCCGCCTGCTGGCCAGGGCCTTTACCCACAGACTGCCCAGTGCCTAGCCGCAGCCAGCCTGCTGACACGCCCACCAGTGGCTCAAGTAAAGGATCTATGTCGCATTGGCACCAGGCCACTTCCTGTGGAGCCTCTGCTAATCAGACTCTGTCCTGGGTGGAACAGGATGGGGCAGAGGTTGCCATCCAGGCCCCTTAAGCACATGTGTCATACACAGACTCCAAGATAAGGGCTGCAATCTGAGCATCAAGGCCATGTTGTTCTTCCATAGTTCGAGTCTAGGGTGTCTCCTGGAACAAACAGAACAAATAAAGTGATGATGAAAGTCCCCGCCTCCACCTCCACCCCCCCACCCCCTGCCCCCGGGTCCCTTGCTGCTGGAGGGAGCTATGCCAGACACACCGTTTCCACAGGCGCTAGTCGGAGTGTCCTGGGTGTGGGGTTCCAGCGCCTTCTATAGCTCCAACATGCCCACATTGGCCTCCTGTAGGAGACAGGGCTGGTGACTGCTGAGGAGTGGCCAAGGAACAAGAGCAGAGAGTACTGGAGTCAGCTGTCTTCTCACTTAGTATTTTTTTTTCCCCAGCTAGTAAAGTAAAATCTTAATTTTTTTTCATTTTTGTGGTTCTGAGGATCGGACCCAGGAAGTTTTCAGACAGAAATGAGAAGTGGCATGATTCCAAGTCCCCATCCTGGGTGAGGGTGAGGCCCACCATGGACACAGAGACCTATTCTGGAAGGGACAAGACCCAAGCTGCACCCACCCCACCCTGCAGGGCCCTGGCTTAAGCTCTTCGGGACCAGGGAGATGGCTCAGTGGAATAAGCGCTTCCCTGGCAAGCGCAAGGGCCTGAGTTCAATCCCCAGTTCTGCCAAAAAAAGCTCTGTGTTGGTGCTGGGGACCGCACCCAAGGCCTTGCAAGTAGGCAAGCCTTCTGCTACTAAGCTGTACCACAAACCCCTGCTGCTTTTCAGTACATACTTGAGGCCAGAGCATGGTGAACATGAGGGGTATCCCTAGATTGGGCCACATCATTCTACCTAGCCCACGTTCTGCACAGAGCTGTCACTGCAGCTTGGTCAGAGCTTTTTTTTTTTTTTTTTTTTCCTTATTTATTTATTTATTTATTGCGGAACCGGGGACTGAACTCAGATCCTTGAGCTTGCCAGGCAAGCACTTATTCTACTGAGCCATCTCCCCAGCCCCCCCCCCTTTTTTTTTAAAGGGAAGCGTCTACAGGCTGTTCAGGGTCTCACTACTAGATCAGACTTAGTGACCCACCTGTTTACAGCCTCCCAAGAGCTGGCATTACAGCCACAGGCCACCACACCACACCAGTCTCAATAGTCATCTCAGTGCGCCCCGGAGATGGGCCCAGCATGGCAGGCTTGAGGTTCGAACCCCAGCCCATGTGCCTGCTTGCAGGTGCTTCAATCTGCTGAGCTATTTGGCTGGCCCGGTCAGAACTCTTAACCATCTTCCCACTCTGGGACCTGGGCCATCTCCAGGCCCCCATGATGCTCTTCCCCACAGAGGCTGCTGCTCGCCCTGTGGCCCTGGGTCACCTGTTTCTCTAGCGTACCCTTTTTCTGAGAAGAGGGCTTACACACACAGAAGCCCAGATCATGGACTTCTTCCCTTTAGAGGGCTTTATTTTGGACTTTGTGTGTCTCCCCTCTACCATGCAGCCTACCTTGGATGAGCCTCCACCATCCTAAACTGGCCAGGCTCTGGGTAGCCAGGGACTTAGGGAAAACATCTAAGGCTAACAGTTCAGAGGCCAGTGGCTCAGAAACAGCCAAGCCCAGGTGCACCTCCCCTTGGACACCACCATGCACAGGGACACAGCCCACAGCAGAGCCACGGAGACGCCCAAGTGAGGGCGTCACTCATCCAGTTTCGAGTGTTTTTTTTTTTTTTTTTTTTTTTTTTTTTGTTTTGTTTTTCAGAACCAGGAATTGAACTCAGGCCCTTGTGCTTGCCAGGCAAGCATTTATTCTACTAAGCGATCCCCCCAGGCTCCTCATCCACTTTTGAACTCTCATATGATTCAAATCCCCCAAAATAAAATTCTAGGAAAATTTATTTTTATAACATCCTTAAAGCCAAGCATGGGGCTGGTGAGATGGCTCAGTGGTCTAAAGCACCTACTTAAAACAAGCTTAACAAAGCAGAGGGACCGCGGTTCAATCCCCCAGCACCAGCACCACATGCCAGCCAGCCCTGCCTCCTGGTGGGCTGAGCTGGCCACACATACACACACACAAATAAATAAATAAATTTAAAAAAAAAAAAAAAGCCAAGCATGGCAGCACAAATCTGTGATTTTAGCAGGAACTGAGGCAAGAGATCAAGGCTATCCTGAATTACATAGTTAAACCTTGTCTCAAAAAAGTTAAAAAAGGGCCGGGGAGATGGCTCAGTAGAATAAGCACTTCCCTGGCAAGCGCAAGGGCCTGAGTTCAATCCCTGGTTCCGCCAAAAAAAAATAGGCAAATAATTTTTCCAGGTATAAACCTGGAATAGTGGCATGGATATAACATTACAGAGCACACAACTAATCAAGAAGCAAAGTGTAAATCGGGCATGGTCATGCAACTGAAATCCCATCTACTTGAAGGCCTAAGCAGGATTGAAAGTTTAGGTCTAGCCTGGGCAATTTTAAGTTTTTGTCATCTTTTATTTGGTACAGTCTTGCTATGCTTGTAGTGATCTGCCTGTCTCAGCTTCCCCAGCCCTGGGATTAGAGGTGTGCACCACCATGCCTGGTTTCAGTAGCTGGTACAGTGCATCCAGGTTCCAGGGTTGGCATGGCATGCCGTACCAGGGATCAAACATGGGTCCTTGCACTTGCCAGGCAGGCACTTAGGCCGCAAGCTATCTCCCCAACCCCAAGCCTGGGCAATTTAGCAAGACTATTTCAAAATAAAAATTTGGGGACCTGGGAAGGTAGCTAGCAGTCAAAGCGCCTGCCTGGCAAACACATGGACCCACGTTCTATCTCTGTACCGCATCCCACACTAGCCCAAGAACCCCGGGCATGCTGCAGTGCCATGGAACAGCGTGATGGTGCATGCCTCTAATCCCAGCCCTGGAAAGGCTGAAACCAGGAAGATAATTACGAGTCCAAGCTGCGTAGTGAGACCCTGTACCAAATACATAAATGAAATAAGAAAAATAATAATAAATAAAAACTTTGGGGAGTATACCTCAAAGTTAGAGCACTTCCCAGCACATGTGAGCCCCTGTATTCCATTCCCATTTTACTAAAAAGAAAAAAAGGTACTACTACAACAACAAGCAGTTGCCCAAAGAGTCAAAATCTTAGGGAATTTTGTCTTCTACAAATGCAGATCTATAGTAAAGATACGTCTCCAGGGGCTGGAGAGATGGCTCAGTGGTCTAAAGCACCTACTTAGAACAAGCTTAGCAAAAGCATCAGGGACCGCGGTTCAATCCCCCAGCA